TAAAATAAAAGGCAACACAAAAGATAAAAATAAAATAGACAAAATGAACATATAAATGAATACATAAATTTATTTTGATTAATATTTAAACTGTAAAACCATACAAAATGATGGATATACGAGAAATATTATCAGAAAAAGAAAAGAAGAGATTCATATGTCTTCATAATTCGAGATATTTTCACAATCAAAGGGAGACTAAGACGAAAACAAGAATAAAACAAAAAACAACAACATGTTATCACGTTGCTTGAAAATATTTATTATTTCTCACATAACTTGTCTAAAAAATCTTGAGTTATTCAAAAAAAGTTACTCATAAATGGAAAATGTGAACTGAAAGAACTTCTAACTTAAGAATTAGTTCTCAATATTAATAATTTAAAAAAAATGAGATATGATCATTATTCATATGTATGTTTTATTACTCAAAAAATATGTTTTCTATTATTGGAGAAAGACTACATCGTTTGATCCATTATACAATAACAAAATCAAATTTTTAACCACTACTTCCAGCAGCAATACTCACAACATTTCTAATAAGACAAAAAAGCAGTAACAATAATAACAACATAATAGCAACAGATATAGAACAATAAAACTAAAATATTGTATAAATATGATTAATAAAAACAAATCAATTAAACATATCTTCATTTGTTTTTCTCAACTGTTTTATAGAATGATGAGTTGCTAAAAGATTGGTACAAACAAATTGCAATCATTTCAACAGTAATCATATTGCTAATATTATCTGTGATCAATGTTACTCTTTAATATATTCATGTTACAAGACATTGAGAATTGAAGAAAAGAACAAAAAAAATTATTTAGTTTTCTTTTGTAAATGTATCATGTCATAAGTTATTTTCACAAGAAATATAAAAAAAAAAGAATTCTTTAAACATAAATATGTTTTTTTTTGTCAAAATAAAACATAAGAAGAAAAGAAAAGGAGCATTAATAATAGATGTTTTAACTGTCAAAGATAGATATGTTCACATAAAAACTAAGTTAATATGCAATTATAATGCTGTTAATTAAAAAAGTGAGCAAATGAAAATATGAACAACGTTATCAAAATGGAAGCAAATCTTAAAAAAAAATGAAACTTATATTAATATTTCACAGATCTCAGTGTTGACCGTCCAAGACAGACAAACACCTAAAAAAAAGACAAAGATTAATCGCGATTAACTACTATAACTGCTTTCAATGGAAAGATGTTGTTTCTTTGTTGATCAATATAATTAGATATGTTTTTGGACATGAAATATTGACTGATCTACAGTGAATACCAACGATATTCAACAAGTTTTATTGTTAGTTTTTCTGTTGCCTTAAGCACTAGAAAGAATTCAAATAGTGACTCGAATAGAGAAAAATTGTTCCCAAGGGCAATATAAGGAAATAAAAATTATTATCGGATGGCCAAAGATAGGGGCTCCAGAAAAACGGAACCCTAATTTTTCGGCACCTAGAACGCATAAGTATAGTTTTGTTTAGATAACAGAGGACGATAGAGTGGGCATTCTCTACAAAATGAGATATCGCCATGTTCTCTGTGATATTTTTTGGCTGAGATACAGCAATTTGATTGAAGGTCAAAAAAATGGTTTTTTCTATAAAAAATTGTAAAAAAAAACGACTTTACGAGCTTCCGTAAGATTGCCGTATGTCAGCTAAAAAACAGTGCAGAGAACTCGGAGATGTCTCATTTTTAAGAGAATGGTCTACTCTAGAGATTGAAATGTATTGATCTTCAGCTCTATTTCAAGATCATATTGAATCCGTACATAATAGTAATATTTATTTAAACCATTTTTTTTTCAGAGTTAACCTTCTTGAGAATGCAAGTAGTACATTGTGAAATAGTAGATTTAATTGCTAATGTAAATTTTAATAAAAATTGGTTAATAGTCATCTTTTTCATATGTTTCAGATCCTATGATCTTTTTTTTATTTAAAACTAAATTTTAGGAAAACAGATATCTTTCTTTCAACGACGATGGAAATCTAAGAAAGATTCTTGATCTTTCCATTATGGTTAAGAGGGGATCTTCTGAACTACATAAGAACTATATTTCATACAACTATTATTAGTTCTTATTCGGTGCTCATTACTGCTATTGAAAACTGTGTTCCGCTACCATGTATTCCGTGAGATACCTACTTTTAGTGATGTGCGATCCATAACTATATCTCATAGTATATACATATGGGTCTCTTGTTTTGAAGCAGGAAGGTCGTTATCCATGTTATCATGAAAGTCGCGTAAGTTTTGATGATCAGAAAACGTCACTGAACAGTTTTCTTCATCCTACTCTGTATTATGCTAGACATTATCAGTCAGTCATCCTGATTTGTAGGACGTGGGGGTGAGGTATCAAAAAGTTCCTCCCGGCAAGACATATCTTGCAGAATAAAGCATTCTTCTGCATTCGATCTGCAGAACGATATTTTCATTGCATTTTTGACAAGAATAAAAACTTGTATGTATATTAGGTACCATGTTACATGTCATAAACATACGATGTATGCAAAAATCATTTACAATATAATGATGTTAATAAGTCTTATTAGATGTTTTCCAGCAGAAACGAAATGAAAAATAAATGAAATAATTGAAATCCATGAGGTGAACAAAATAATAACAAAACAAACATACAAATATAGAATTCCAAAGGTATCCAGTATAAATAGATAGACAGCGAGAAAGGATAAGTTTTCTTTTCATTACTTGTTCTTGAATTTCTCGTATGAACAAATAAATAATATTTTATTCATTTCACTTGGTGATGAACCCATTCGTCCTTGAAGTAAATGTCAATCCAGCTGAACTAAATTATTTTTTTGTACAGATGCATTAGTCGTCGGTATAGCATCTACTCTTCTGGCTACTATTAATAATAAAGGAAGTTCACGATGAATTTCACTATTAGACTAGAACTTCATTGAATCACAATCAATTACATGACGGAGATATCCTACAGGATTTAAATATTATCTTGCACGTCCTGCGTCCTAATAAAAGATTGTTCTGTTTTTGCATCTGTAGGACCAGTGGAGAACAAAATAGATTATCTGTAGGACATGTGCCCTGTGTCGGTCTCTGTTGACGATTAATCGTCATTTGAGCAAAAATCCTTTCATGTTATGGTATCTGATAAAAGCTTCGAGCTGAATATTTATTGTCTGATTAGTTTCAATCAGTAAGAAAATAGACATGACCATTTTGTTTTTCCAGCTCTTGTATAATTCGTCTTATTTTATTAGAGAAACTCTATTAATCTACAATAACTTCTGAGATAAGTATATTATTTTTATTTCGATTGATTCCAAGAACAATGACACGATAAGTATTATTTTACACACTCAACTATATTCTTTTTATTTAGATTAATCTCAATAGCAATTTCACAATATAAATGATATTTTCGTTTACTAAGATTAATATCAATTATCATTTCATCGGTAAGTATAATTGAAAACAAAAATTATATTTTTATATTTATGTGGAAGGGAAAGAAAAATTCATCCTTGTCACTTATGTGAATTTCATAAGAATATAACAATAAACGATTTCGTATACGAAAGTTTACAATTGTTATAATTCTTGTACTAGATTCCTAAGAAAAGCCCTTAAACGTCCAGAACGTTTCTCTTATGATTCCTTGAGAGAGTTTTTCAGGGACTCCTTGAAAATTCTTTTATGAAAAACTGACTAGAGTTACTCATTTATTAATTCTAAAAAACTTCAGATTAATCTCCATTTTTTATAAAAACCGAGAAAATATGAATAAAAATCGTCAGTTCAGGCGATTTAATCGCACTATGATCTTCCAACCAATAGATTTTATACATCGCAATAAAATCCTCGATTTTTACGCAATTTTAATGACACGGGCAATTATACCTCATAATATATGCATATCACAATGTACTATACACTACGAAAAAATTATAAAACCATGAAATATCCACCACTGTTTGAAAATAATAGGTATATCTGTATATATTATGAGATATATATACATAAAAATGCCCAAACATCTTCATTTCAGTTTCAAATAGAAAGTCTTTTTTTCCTACATTCAGATTGAAATTAAATAGATCATTGTATGATATTTGCTCTATTTATTTTGTGAGAAACTATAAAAGAAAAAGAATCACATTATTAATTATTGAAAAGTATTGTTCGATTGTTATTTCAACTATTGCCAGTATAGTGAGAAAAGCTTTTTTCTTAAAATATCAAATCCATTATAATCAAAACAAATGATAAAAAATGTCTATAATTTATTTTGATTTATTGATTTCTTTGTCTGTAATTGCTGCTTGATTTGTACTTGATGATGAAGAAACAAAGTTGTATCGAAAATAGAGTTTACGTGCTGGTTTTTTTGGTAAATATTTTTTTAATTTAGCAATAAATTTAAAAAAAATACCAAATGATAATGGATGTTCTTTTGGATTGTTAAGTAATCCATACATAATATCAGATTTTGCTGCACATAACTGATAAAATTCAATTAATGCTTCACCATCCATTGATTCACAAATAGGTATTAATTGATCAAGTTTATTATCAGTTAAAAATTCCTCAACATGTTGTTCATTCCACATTGTTGTTAAAGGAAAGTTTAAATATTCTCTTGTTTCAATACGACGTCGCTGACGATCTTTTTTGAGTTCTTCAGGTTTAGATCTTATTTTGGTGGTTGATGTATTTTTTTGATCTCGATTGATATCGTTCAATCCATTTCGTTTAAGTTCTTTTAGTAATGAGTCATAGGCATTATCAAACTCTTCTTCTTCTTTATCAGCAAAATTAACATAAATTTTTGAACCAGCCAAAAATCCTAACCATCCATCGGCTTTATATTGAGGCTCAACAATAAGTGGAATTATTTTACTTTTTCGATTAAATGCATATTCAGCTTCAGCTTTACAATTCGTACTATTTTTATAATTACTTGACATACAAATAAGTACAAATCGTGATCGTTCAATAGCTTCAGCCATACATTCAATAATTGATCCACGCATTTCATCTCTATCTAACCAAACTTTATAACCACCTTGTTCTAAACGATCACTTATTTTATGACATAATGGCTGTTGTGCCCAACAATATGAAATCATCATATCATATGGTTTTGATTCTGTATCAGAGCTCTCTTCTGTTGTTTCTGCTTCATGTTTAGTTTTTTCTTCTTCTTTTTGTTTAAATTTTTCTTCATCTTCTATTTTCCACATAATACCATGTGCCATTTTTGCAACCTCTTTATTGTCAGAATTACATAATTCTTTTACGTAATCAATAAATTCTGTATCTTTACTAATAATTGTTTTTGCATCATCATTAAATGTCATTGCAAAGACCATTTCTAATGGTATTGGATCATCATTTGCTTCTTTTGCAAATTTTATTATTGATGGTAATGCATTTTGTTTAATAACTTCTTCCTTAACATTTTCATGTTGTACCAAGTCTAAGAAAAAAACAAATAAACAAAGATCAATTGTTAAAGAAAATAGTATGCAATTTCTATACCTGTAAATCCTTTTAAAATTTCATTGGCTCTATTAGGTTTTCCATCTTCAACAGCAGTATTAAAATTTTTAACAAGTAGCCCAATTACTCGTTCTGCACTGTTTTCTTTCCGAAATTCTTCTTCTGGTACTAATAATGAAGTTAATTCTATTGCTTTCATTTGTATTTGTTCGTTACTTGCATTTTTTGATAAATCATTTAACACATTAATTAAATCAGGTTTTTCATCGCTTTTATTTTTTAATTTATCTGATAAAACTGTATCAGATCGAATTAATTCAATTAATAAACAAAGCGACATATAAATGACTTTACTATAGGCTTCTTCAGTATGTGAGTCACTTGCTGATGCATTTAAAAGTATAGTTAGAATAAAATCATACATAGGTGTTCTTTGTTCGTATGTTAATGATGGAATAATTGATAAGACGAATTTCATTGGATAAAATATACATAACATGATTGATGTTGTCCATTGTTTAATATGAGGAAGAAAATCATGAAGTAAATCATCATAATGGTTTAACATTTTATTAGCTATTTTTGAAGCGTAAGTTGTATCGCTATCACAAGTAACAATATAGTTTGGACAAGTAACAAGAAGAAAATGTTCAGTAACATCTAAAGATGCTACATTAAATTTACTCAAACGATGTAAAACATCAGTATAAAAACGACTAGTTGCACATTTACCAAGCATATCAAGTAATTGTTTACATTGAACATTTTCAAATGCTTGA